AAATGTAAAATATTCGTTTGAAATGTAGATGACTAAAAGAGGAGTGTGTCAAAATGTACTTGATACAAATAACAATTCAATAAATCCCCAAAAATAGGAGATAATACAGGAGAGTATATCAGATGAAGAGTTGAAGAGAAATCACAACTCTCAGCAGCAGGCAACTTCAGTGAAGGAATCACAGCAAACAACCTTGAGGATACGGATTGGAAACTTATTGTTTATCACGCCCCCGCAAGCTGAGCGGACGATTGAGAACGGAAGCTTGGAAATAAGGAAACTAAACCGAGTGGTAGACAAACCCTTTGTGAGAAAGTCAGCCACCTGATCAGGAGAAGCAACATAGCCCATAATGATTTATTTTCTAGTAACCTTTTCACGAACATAATGATAATCAACTTTAACATGTCGCATTTGTGCTTGGTAGACAGGATTGGAAGCCATGGCAAGAGCACTTATATTATCACACTATAATTGAGGTGGTGTCAGAAAAAGATGAAGACCATGAAATAAGTTTCGAAACCAGGACAAAGTGGTGGCAGTATATGCTAGTTGACGATACTTAGCTTTAGTGCTTGAGCGAAACATCACGTTGCTTCTTCGAGCTCCATGAAATCAAATTAGAGCCCAGAAAGATACAATAACCTCCAGTGGACTGACTTTCGTTAGGATCACCGGCATAGTCTGCGTCGTCATAAGCAGTGATGGAGAGAGAACTCGGACGATAGAGCAAACCATGATCATGAGTGCCCTTAAGATAAGGCAAAATGCGTTTGACAGCAGCCTAGTGTACTGTTGTGGGAGAGTGCATAAACTGGCACACCTGGTTGACAGAGAAGACAATGTTAGGACGTGTGAAGAGTAAATATTGAAGGGCACTTACAACATTGCGAAACTCCGTGGCATCAGAAATAGGTTCCCCTTCGTGCAAAAAAAGACTATAGCCAGGAGAAGCTGGCGTGTGGATGGGTTTGCAATTTGCCATGTTTGTGCATTTGAGAAATTTTGCTTGAGATAAATGAAAACTAGAGGTTGTACGAGTGACCTCCATACCCACAAAATAATGGAGGGGCCCAAGATCTTTCATGAAAAACATTAAACCAAGCTGAGCAATGAGTTTGGTAATCTATGAACAACTATTGCCAGTAACCAAAATGTCATCAACGTAAACCAACAGATAAATAATTGTGGTGCCATCAAAGTAAATGAATAAAGATGAGTCAGCTTGAAAGGCAACAAACCTGAATTCCTCGAGATAATTGGAAAACCCTGAAACCACACCCTTGGAGCTTGTTTGAGACCGTAAAGAGAACGTTGCAATTTGCAAACATGAGTTGGCAATTGTGGATTAACAAAGCCCTGGGGTTGGCGCATATAAACATCTTCAGAGAGAGAACCATGTAAGAATGCATTCTGAACGTCCAACTGGCGAATGGACCAATTATAGTGTAGAGCAACAGAGAGAATTAAACTGATGGTGGCGTGAGTAACCACAAGAGTAAACGTTTCTTCGTAGTCGATGCCCTCCTGTTAGTGAAAGCCGTTAGCAACAAGACGAGCTTTGAATCGTTCTATTGACCCATCGAATTTGCGTTTGATCTTGTAAACCCATTTATTGGGAAGAGCATTGAGATGTGGTTGAAATGGCACAAGAGTCCATGTACCAGTTTGTTGTAACGCCGTGAACTCCTCAGCCATTGCTTAACGCCACTGTGGACATTTGTTAGCCTGTGTAAAACCTGAAGGCTCAACCAAAATATTAATGGCAGCAAGTAAAGCATAGCGAGGATTTGGTTTTCAAATGCCATCTTTGGCCCTTGTAGTCATGGATTAAGATGGAAGAATAGTCATCACAGGCATGGTGGTTGAGGTCCCACTATTCGCAGGAGTAGGTAAGAGATGGTCGTATGGGGAATGAAGAAGTTTGAATAGAAGTAGAAAGCGGGAAAAATGGAAGTTTTGGTTTACGTTTGCTTAAGGACAAGAATGCAGGATAGAAAAAAAGCATAGAAGTTCACAGTGGCCATGACATTTGGCAATTTATTCTTAGCAAACTAAAAAAAACGTTTAAAATATAACTAGATGGTGGCTATCTAGAATGCCACCTTGTATCGGACACGGACCACCACCAAATAATGCAAGGACATCCTGTTGATTGTTTGGATGAATGAATCTGGAAAAATGATAGAAGCTGTTCTTAAACTCTTCGGTCCTTGCAAAAAGGATCTTGCCCTGTTGTTTACGGGTCACGCAACGCGATAAGAAATGGGGGGATAGAGGGTTAGTCGAGCAGTATATATATACAATGGTAAAAAAAAGTGCGTTATTATAAAGGAGATAACATTGGTTGGGCATTCGGACAGTATAAAGTATTGGAAAGATTAAAGGTATTTGTGGGAGTGCGAATACAAGATTGAACCATTTTAGAAATAACCAAACCTGTGCCTCCAACTACATCAGTCACATGATTATTGCCATTGTAATCTCTGGGATCAACCACTTGTGCCAAGTCATTTGTAATATGGGCATTAGCCCCATAATCAAAGAGCCAATTTTGGACCTGTGGAGCAGCCATGGGTGGAGGGCCAGGAGCATGCGCAGCAGCGGCAAAGGCCTGAAGCTTGGAAGGGGAGCGGGAACACAAACTTCGTATGCCATGTTCATACGATTGTAGCAATATATAGCAGAATGACCAGGTTTGTGGTGGATTTAGCACTGAACACGTCCATTTGGATTAAAGCCATTACCTTGCTGAGGGCTAATGCCGAGTACATCCTGGCTGTCGAAACATGCCACGACCACCTGGAAATGGACCACGGCCGACACGACCAACGGCAGACTGAAAACCACGACCAGTACCACGACCAGCGCTGGCCTAAAAACCACACCTTCCACGTTCAGCAATGAGGGTAGTAGGAGCAGCATCAATGTGGAACACATGACTCATCTCTTGGTGATGTTCGACAATGAGAAACAAGGCTTCCAAAGCACCATAAGAGATGGCATCCTCTCGAGCTTGAGTAGACGACATGGTGCTTTCATACACATGACCAATGTTTTTGAGAACGATGGCCACCAAGTCCGAGTCTGAAATAGGAGACCCCGAGAGGGAAAGGGTGTCAGTGAGAGAGTTCACACAATCCAAAAAATCAACAATCGATGAATCACTGCAATGAGTGTTCATCAGGTCACTCTTGAGTTGCAAGAGACGACCAATGGATGTCGAAGCATAATGCTCGCGTAAAGAAGTCCAAGCGGAGTGAGAACTAGTTTTGCCAATAAGAGTGGCCAAAACCGTTGGGTGAAGGGAATTGTTGATCCATGATATAACCATGGCATCCTGCTGCATCCAGACTTCGAAGGCTGGGTTTAAATCAATGGTGAGATTACCGGCAGTATCCTTAAGAAAAGCCGAAGGACACTTAGGGCTGGTTTGGTATTGCTGTGCTTTGAAAAAAAGCTGATTCTGCTGTGTTGTGAGAATAAGCGGCTGTGAAATAAAGCAGCAGAGTGTTTGGTAAACTTTTTTGAAAAAGTGCTTTTGAAAAAAAAAATAGTATTATAGTGTTTGGTAAACTTTTATGTAAAACAGATGTGAAAAAAAGCCGATTTTTCAAAGCTGGGTTTTGCAGCTTCTTGTTTTTGGCTTTTTTTCACCCAAAACTGTGAAAAAAAGCTGAAGCTGAATGTTTACCAAACACAAAAACAGCTCCCAGTTTTTTTTTATACCAGTTTTTTTCATAATCACCTTAGTACCATCAATGAAGGAGACTAGGTTCCTGCTACAAAGCAAGGGTAGGATTTGTGCATGCCAAAGAGGGTAGTTTGTACGATCAAGGTTGATCGTCAAAAAATTGGAGACATTAGGAATAGCGAAAGTGGGTAGGGCAGAAGAGAAGGAGTCTGAGGAGGCCATTTTGAAAAAAAATTGCTTGTGTTGTCGTGAGACTTTCTTAGCTCTGAGATACCATAAAGGAGAAACAAGCACATATAAGATTTTAAAGGGCTAAAAGAGTTATTGATGCTCAACTCAGTTCAATCTGAGGGAGGTTGTATTTTGTATTTATAGAGATGACTTTCCATCAGTTACAAGATGTACTTGGTACAAAGAACAATTCTATAGATCCCTAAAAATAGGAGATAATACAAGAGAGTATATCAGATGAAGAGTTGAAGAGAAATCACAACTCTCAGCAGCGGCAACTTCAGTGAAGGAATCACAGCCAACAACGTTGAGGATATGGATTGCAAACTTATGGTTTATCAAAAATCGCTACCCTTTTAAGAATTCACTCAAATCGAAAATCAAACAAATAGTAGTCTAATTACTTGTTTCATTTTTTAGAAGAATTACTTGTCTTCTTGGCCAAGTTATCGTTGCTCCTGAAAACTTCACCATTTGGAGGATACAAGACCAACAATCAATATTGAACAAAACAAAAGCTTATTGATGCAGCAAAATTAAAATGTTACAATGAAGAAAAGAAAAAACTGTAAGAATATGAACATGAGTTCTCGGTGAACTGGCATTAGCTATTTGGACCAATTAGTATAAGAAAGCCTTATAGGAAGATGAATGTGAGTTCTTGTTGATAGAGGAGTCTATCATAGTGGTGAATTGATGTGGATTAGGAACATAAGTTGTTTCCTGCAGGGATTTTAATAGGGAATCCTTACTGGATTAGGAGAGATATATGTCTATATATATATATATATATATATATTGTGACCTCTGCTCTCACATATGCGCGCTCAATTAAGAACTAAGTCCTGTTCTTGGTTAGAGCTTAAATTGATCTGACAGAGAGGAGAAGGATTGCAACGCACTGAGATTGAATGGCAGCAGCTATGGCATCTTCCAATGGCAGTTCATCAGGTTAGTGGTATTGCAGAGTTCTTTACATATTGATGTAAGAGTTTTCATGCTTTCTTGTTTGTGATTTAAGCAACTTAATCTTGTTCTTGGCTATATAAGTTAACAAAAACTTGGAAGTAATTAATTAGCCAGTGCCACCAAGAACACCCTTCAGCTTCTTGATTGTGGCAAGTTCAAGGAAAGTGGTCTGCATCACCAGTTCCGAAGGCAAGTCATTGGCGAAAAGGGCAAAGTCAAGGATTTGGAGGCTGGGGCTTGTGCTGCTGAAGCTAACAAAAGCATTGGAATGTATTTTAGCAACATTCACTTGGAAATGCAGCAACCCTTGTGGGAAAACCATGATCTCTCCTTTGTGAAGAGCCTTCAAGTAAACCAAGTTGGCAGACGAAACAAACCCGCTTTGATAATACCCCTCGTCACAACGAGAACCTATCAAAGCCCCTCGTCACAACGAGAACCTCCAAAGCCCCGGGGTGTGTGTGGAATGGGATAACACCACCTGGTGCTAAATCTAGCCTTGCCATAGAGATTCCAAGGCCATTGACTCCAGGAAACTGGGCAACAAATGCCGGGGTCACGCTGATTATGTTGGTAGTGTTTCCACCTTTGGCCAGGCCAGAGAACACAAAGTCACTGACAGTGACACCGGCAGGCTTCTTGCAAGTGTAGCCTAAAGGGCTGTCCGGGCCTTTCAGGTTTGCCGCACAAAAGTCACTGACAGAGGCATGGGAGGTGGAGTCTATGAGGAAAATGAGAGAAAAGAGGAAGAGAATTTGCCATATTGAGGCATTTTCACAAATCTGAGCTAAATGAGTGTGTGGAATCTTTGGGTTTTGGTTATAGTTTTATACAAATTTGTGCATAAAGGGATTGGGGTGCAAGTTGAAAACATGCCCATGCAGGACACAATTGACTAATGGAAAAAAGAGAGCCACGTGATGATAGGCTTACCTGGTGATGAGACCCCTTTTTCATTGGGCATAAATAAAACAGGAAGACACTTTAGGTAATTAGCAATAGAGGTGACTTGTGGAGGGGGCATTGATTTTTCCTCTCTGTCAAACAGCTTGCTTGCACAACTAAATAGTGGATAATAGAGAATTAGAAACCTAAAAATGGGTAGCATATTAGCAAAAGGTGGTAACCAAAAGGAAATTTTTTGGCATGTTCTAATTAACCACGACAACAAGGGGACTAATGATAATGGTGATGATGATATAGAGCAGGACCACACCTTTTAGCTATTGAGAATGAAACTAATCTACATTCACATTTGAGGATTCAATAATATTAGAGATACCAACTTATTACATCTACAATGCAGAGTTTTTTTTTATTTGATTTTATAATGGTTCTTGTTGAACAAGAAACAAATGAAACATTGTCATATCAGTTGGTATCTTAAAAGTTGATGTGCTATATAGAAAGATTCTCTCTTACAACTAAGTTTTAGTTCTAGTGACGTCATAGTCTAATAAATATGTAATGTCTTAAAAGGTGTTGTATCCATCCAATAGACAATTAACAAGTGATAAATATAAGAAAATTGCATGATATATTTCTGTGGATAAACAAATAAATACAAATGAAAATAAATAACAAAGTATGAAATCACCAAAGTAGTTAGAAAGATCGTTTTTGTTGAGGCGTGAATACTAACTTTTCAGGATACCATGACACTGGAGATACCACAATAAGGCTGACAACAAACAAGCCTCCCCAATCCAACCTAGTAGAGAAAGATGTTAATTTTTTTTGTTTTTTTAAACAAACGATATTATCTATATTAAGGGGGAGGGGTGGACTTAACCTTACAATCGGCTAGCAATAATGTGGTTCAAACCTGCTTTTGGCGAGAATCGAACCTAAGATCTCTAACTTACAAGTAAAGAGAAATGTCACTAGACCACAATACTAAGTGATAGAGAAAGACATTAATATTAGCGAAGTATATGATGTCAATTTAATTGACGAGATGACATTGGACTACTATGTTGGGAAAGATAACAATTAATAGGAATCAAGATAAAATTTTGATAGTCCCAGGATCTAACTTTTCACGCTCTTGTGTTATTAAAATGGACTAACAAAAAAACAATATCTTCCACTAGCAAAATAATGTTAATGTAAAACAATCTCACAAAATGTGGATACACTGTCTCATGGTTTTCTCACAAGAGGATTCTCTCACGTACAAGTGTGGCTTTCTTCTCTCAAACCCTCTCACCTTTTTCTCTAAGTGAGGTTTTGTTTGGGTTCTCTTTGAATGATTCACTTATGAATGATTTGACTGGATGAGGAATAGGGCTTTTATAGCCAACATTGTCAAATGATAGCCGTACGAAGAAGAGAAAAACTCTCCTTTGTTTCTTCACCACCTCTTGTACATTCTTTTCTCTATTGCATTTTTAATATTTTAGAAAATCATTTCCTTATTTTTCTCTCCTACTAAGGAGGGATAACTTGTTAATCTCCCCCTCCTGACCTAGGTGGATAGCTCCATCATGCCTGCTGTTTTCTTGCAGTACTCATACTTATCCTTAGGTAAGGATTTGGTCATTATATCTGAACTACTAACATCAGTATAAATCTTCTCAAGCTGTAGTTGCTTAGATTCTAGCACATCACATATCCAGTGATATCGCACATCAATGTGCTCCGATCTAGTGTCAACTTGGATTCTCACTTTGGTATCACAATGCAGTGTATACTTCTGCCTTGTTGTCTTAATTCCTGTAGGAATCATTTCATCCACAACATTTCCTTGCATACTTCAGTAGCTGTAATGAACTCTACCTCTGTAGTAGACAAAGCAACGTATTTTTGTACCTTGACTGCCATGAAACAGCTCCTCCTGGAAAAAGTCATCAGGTATCCAGACGTAGACTTTCTGGAATCTATATCTCCAACATATCTACATCTGTGTAGCCATAAAAATCAGGTTTTCCCTTCCAAAGCATAAACTTGTTTTGGAAGTACCCCTGAGATATCTGAGAATCCACTTCACCGCATTCCAATGCTCCTTGCCTGGTTTAGACAAGAATCTGCTAACAATGCCAACTGCGTGTCTTATGTCTGGTCTTGTACACGCCATTGCGTACATCAAACAACCGACAAATGAGGCATACGGCACTTTAGTCATTTCTTCCTTTTCTTTGTTACTTAAAGGACTCTGCTTTGAACTAAGCATGAAGTGACTAGCAAGTGGAGTAGCAACTGACTTTGCTTTATCCAAGTTGAAACGCTTTAACACCTTCTCGATATACTTTTTCATGTAACAACCACAACTTCCCATTATTCTTATCATGTGAGATATTCAAACCGAGGATTTGTTTAGCAGGTCCTAAATCCTTCATAGCAAAAGATTCGCTCAGCTCTATCTTCAGCTTCCTGATCTTGTCACTAGCTCGTCCTACGATCAACATGTCATCAACATAAAGAAGTATGATGAACTTACCATCTGTGAATCTTTTCACAAATACACAGTGGTCAGATGTAGTCATTCGATATCCATGCTTAATCATGAAGGAGTCGAACTTCCTGTACCAGTGTCGAGGTGCCTGCTTTAGTACATACAAACTTTTCTTCAACCGACAGACCAGATCTTCTTTGCCTCTGACTTTGAATCCTTCTAGTTGCTCCATGTAAAATTCTTCTTCTAGATCACAGTGAAGAAACGGCAATAGTTGTAGCTGTAGCCTTGTAGGTCATCTATGATTCTATATATTCTGATTTGATGAGGAATATCTCATACGTATGCATAGGCAGTTGAATGAAGGGAAAAGAAAACGAAAGTTAAGAATTGAATAATAACATTTGTCATCTTAACATCAAAATTTTCATTTTCAGATGAGATGTCAATTCTTCAACCGTATCCACCTCCAAATGATGATGATGATGATGATATGCTACAGCTGGCAATTGAAGGTATACAAATTGATCCTCACAAATTAATACTTCTACATAATTCTAATTTAATAACAATTAATGATAAACTTTTAGGTTCTACATAATTCTAATCACCAACGTCTCCGATAGACCTCAGTGATATTAACATCAAAAGTTTCATTTCAGTTTCACTTTTAGGAGACATGTCAGTTGGTGAAATGTGTACAACTCCGACTGATGATGATGCTATGCCAATGTGGGCAATGGAAGATGGGCGTCTTGAAGGTATCCTCACAAATTAATACTTGTAAATAATTTTTATTTAACAGTAATTAATGATAAACTTTCGAGTCAAGTATGGCTAACATCCACTAACATCACCAATAGACCTCGGTAGTATTCATTAGGGATGAAATCTCCCTTGTATATATTGTATATTTTTTTAATTAAAGATTATTTTGTTATACTTTCCGTAAAATTTCCCATTTATTTTCAAAGTATGGAAAATTTAGCAATTAACAAACATGGCATGGAGGAACAGGACACACTATAAGAAAAATGAGCTTTGGGTACAAAATAAAGGACACAATTGAGATTTTTGTGTCTGTTTGACCACCAAAAGGCTAAAACAGTTCTTGTTCCATAAAGGCACCATCTAAGGTGCCCAATGTTAAAAAAAAAAAGAAAAAAAAAAAAGACAGAAAACAATAATGGGCATGGAAACCGTGCCGAATGGGGTCAGATGACAACATTTTTACTGAAGATGGGCACAAAAAACATTTTGTGTCTATAAAAGTTGTTTGTCAGCAACACTGTATGTGTTTTTTCGTTTGTCTTTACCTTTAGCACACCAAAAAATTAAATTTATAAAATTGTGGTAAATAATGGTATGGAGCTGTTTATTACTGTGCAATGTTTTAGCCTCAAAATAAGTTAGTAATAATGTTGTTCAAATTCGTTTTTAGCGATAACCGAACCTTAAATCTCTCACTTACAAGTAAAGAAGAATACCACTAGATTGTAGTACTAAGTGGCGTGTTTTAGATTTACAATGGATTATTTCCATCTGCAATGAATGTTTGTTAGATTCGTATCTTTTTGAACTACTTTTTAGATTGTTATCTTCCTGCAGGTTTTTTTTTTTTGATACTTGGTGATATGCTTTTTGGCTTTATCGTAAGTGTTTATTTTTGTTACTCTATTAAAAGTCTTTCATGCAGTGACACATAACCAACAATTGAGCCCTTAGGGTCATCGGCCTCCGCGCAAAAGTTAGTGGGTCTTCAAATAGACAAATGAGTTAATAATTATAAATTCCTTTTTATGACACTAATGTTAGAAATTGTGTCTAATAAATATTAATAAATATTAAATCACTCTACTTCCCATTGGGTATTCAGATAGACAATATATCTTAATAATTATAAATTCCTTTTTATGACACTAATGTTAGGAGTGCATTTTTGCTCACCACCATTTATGTGGTGTATGCTTACCATCCTATTTATCATCGTTAGATAAGTTTGAATTTTGAGATTTGTGCTTATCTACTACACGAATCTCGAAATTTAAATTCATCTAAGGGTGATAAATAAGGTGGTGAGCATACATCACACTAAATGGTGGTGAGCAAAAATGCTCCCCTAATGTTAGAAATTGTGTCCAGTAAATATTAATAAATAATAAATCACTCTATAGCAAAAGAATATGTTGGCACAATTATGGATTTGTGCCTTTATTCTAGTGTAAAACGTCCATACTCCTTTACTAATTTGTCTATGGAATTTCTTTTGAATTTGATCAAGTTCTACGTCATTAAGAATGGGGGACAGGCGACGTTGCGGAGTTAGAATTGGAATCGAATCTCCAGCATCACATTCGTCTATTGCTTCAAACATTACAACAGAAAATTCCACAACAAATCCTCCAGCTCAACGTTTTTTCTAGTGGAATAAACAAAAAAGAGGGAGAAACAAGAAAAGAGAAAGGAACGGTTTTAGGAATAAGAAGAAAAAAAGGAGATTTAAATCCTATACCTATAATTAAGGATAAGATTAACATTAATCACAAATTACAAAAAAAAAAAA